ATAAATTATCTTTGAATTAAATTATGTATTACATCAAAGAAAATTATTGATCAGTATATTTTCTGTTTTGAAGGATTTGATTGGTTACATTAATCTTCTTTTTTTTAAAAAAAATGGGGAGAGAAGAAAGAAACAGAAAATAATCAATGAAAAAAAAAACTAAATCATAGGATTGAAATATGCATATTTACAAGCATTAATTATATTAGCATATATACAGGATACAATGCAACAATCATTGATATTCCATTTTTAATTCATTTCACTTTCTAATTAATTTGAAAATTGTTCACCACAAAATATTTTATAATTATTTAATTGTTTAAATACAAGTGGTTCATGTTTGGTTATTTGTCCAAGGTTTTTCAATTTAAAATATGCAAGCATCCCCTCTATATAAAATTTAAGAATGCGCTGAACTTATGTGGCAAACTCTCATGCTTCAGAATCCTATTTGGCAAAAAATCATGTTTTGGAGTTAGGCTTGGATATAAATTAATATTTGTATTAATTATATTTTAATATCATTTCCTATTATAACCATTGAATTGTAAATATATTTTAAAAGTTGATAACTTTTTTATTTCTTATCGGTTTTACATATATAATATATCAAATTAATCATCTTTTGATGAGCTTCAATTTGACCTCCATATTATATATATAAAATAAATAAATTATAGTATTTTTATAATAATAATAAAATTATTTATTAAAATTAATTAAAAAATAAAATTATTTATCAATTAATATATATGTTTAATGTAGTTATATGTTATAAGGTAAAATTTATTATAACATAACACATATAAGTCGCACAATTAGCATGTGTCATATTAAAATATATAATAATATATACTCCATCCTATTTTTATTATTTGTCACTTTGGCTTAATTGATCATTGATAAAATAAATGTCGTTTTAGATATTTTGTTCATATTTTTTTATTTTTAACCCTCCATCTAATACACAACGTCTCTTCATATCTCACTCCATCATTTCTCATAACATCCATTAAATAGGGTTAATATTGTCAAGAAAAAAAAAATCTTAATTAGTGTGTTGTATTTGAATTAATATTATGAAGTTCGTTTGTATTTTACTATTTATTTATTATTTTTATTATTTATCACTTTGACTTAATGAATCATTAATAAAATAAATGTTATTTTAGATATTTTGTTCATATTTTTCATTTTTAACCCTCCATCTAATACACAGTGTCTCTTCATATCTCATCTCCATCATTTCCCATAACATCCATTAAATAGGGTTAATATTTTCAAGAATAAAAAATCTTAATTAGTGTGTTGCATTTGAATTGATATTATGAAGTCCGTTTGTATTTTACTATATATATATATAATACAAAACAGTAATATATATCCTTATAAATAAAATTTAAATTTATTTATCAAATTAAATTAAATTACATCAAATAAAACTATAAATTATACTATAAAGTGATAGAAATTGGTATGTATTATTTTAAAAATGATATTTATTTCAAATTTAATTGGTATGTTGTCAATGTAATAAAAATAAATAATTATTTATCTAAATTCTAAAATTACATATAAAGTTAAAAAAACTGTGAAGCAGGACTGATACGACACTTGATGTATTAGGCATCTAATTAAGTAAAAAAATTAATCTATTTTACTTCATATTAAATAAACATATTCTACACTTATACATATACATATCACCATATTATTTTTATTTATTTAAGATATATATATTTTTGTATTTATGTAATAGTAAATAATATCGATATTTTTACATGGTATAAGTAAAAAAATTCAACACGGGTTGACATTTTCATTTAATGTACGGATGTGTAATTATTATGATTAAAAAAATATAATTTGACAATTTAATTAAAACCCAAAGTAATATTTTATATAAAATTAAATTATTTTAGTTTTTAAAAAAATAAAAAATTTAATATTTTTTACAAAAACTTTCTAATTCAACACCCGTGTAATATACAAGTATTGTACTATTATATTTTAAATATCTAGTGAACATTATCAGTTGGCCAAGCCCAAATATCACCATCTAGGAACCAAATGAAAACAAGGCTGTTTACAGAAACACATAAACGTTTCTAAAGAAAAAAGTAACAGTTTCACAACGTGGATAGTTCATATATGATCAAATACATGTCATTAAACAAATTGTATGGTGGCTTTTTTTTTTCGAAGACAATGTAACAATTATCAATTGCAATAAAACAATTCAACGTCGATAGATCTACAAAGATATACGCATTGATAAAAAATAAATAAATAAATAAATAAATAAAACTTATAGAGAATATTGATCATCCAAAATTATTTTAAATTTGTATTAGTGAAATAAAATAAAAAATAATATGATTGTGATGATAACTAAATATCAGAATATATGAAAAGGAAAAAAAAATTAATGTTCAATCAAGCTCATAATAATCATTAATAGAAATTAAAAGTGAAACATGTGTGTGCCACGCATGGCCCAATCCAAGTTTAATTCGACAAATGCCTACTTTAATTTAGGCCAATTTACATATATAGTTAACTAATTGTTAAGTACGTGTTTGTATACAAATATATCCTGTCAAAATATATATTTTTTTTATTTTTATAATTAGAACTAATTTTGAAAGAAAGTGGTATAGTACTTAGTTATTACTTGTTAGTGGAATTTGATTTTATATTAAAATAATATTTAAAATAAAATAATTAAAGTTAATTTAACAGTATGAGAGATATTATATGAATTAATAGTTAGTTAAAATTATATGATTTTAAAATAAATTAATTGACAAAAAGGATATACAATTACATAAATTTATTTAAATATAAAAAAAAAAACATATGTAAGGGGTTATATGATTAATTTACTTTATTAGATGTATTATAAAATAAATTAATTATCAACTCTAAAGTTTACATTAATGAGTTTATGACTAATAGCATATGGCTGAGAATCTAACTACTATAATAAAAACGTTGATAACATTAGCTCGCATATTTCACTCATTTTTCCAAAACTCGTCATAAAACTAAATTTATTTGAATAAAAAACTTATAAACTAATTAAATAAATTAATTAAATTAGTTTATAATGTTTACCAATCGTATTAAATCGTTATTTTTTTTTTGTTTTCTTTAAAAATGACATCAACTAAACAATTAATATCATTATCATATTTCCTTGGCCAATCCAATAATACATCATCTTATTTGTACATAGTGTGATCGAGTCGAATCAAATTATTTAGCTCAAGGTACTTCATCTCATTTTCAACATTAATAATTAAGCTCGAATATTAACAAGCTGCACTTGAGCCTTAACAAGTCTAGCTATATAAATTTATCAATGCTCTAGAAGTCGTTAGGCGCTCGACCAGCGCCTAGCGCCTAGTCGGGGACTAGGCGGGGCCTAGAAGTTATAATAAATATATTATATAATTTATTTTCAAAATTTCACTAATGAAATTACAACTTATAATTAATAAATCCATACACCTAAGTCCCAATAATATTATACTATTATCATTTTTTTCATTTTTCAAAGTTAAAGTTGTAAATTTTTACTAAGCTCTTCTCATTGTAATTTTATCAAACACATTAACTACATGTTATGTTTTAAACATTTCACAACATAATATAATTACAGCAACCAACTAAACACCAAATTTCACTAATCACATCAACTAATTAACTAATTAATTTAACATGAATAATAATACAATACAACAAATGAGTAACTAAATAAGGAATAAAAAAAGTATGTGCCCAGTAAATGGAAATTGCGAAAGTTGTTCAATCCCTTCCGAAGGAAGGAAAAAGCTGCTCAGTAAAGTAGAAGCTACTTCTTTCTTCTTTCGCTTGTTCACAATCACAACTCTCCGATAAGCCAATTTCCTTCTCTGAAAGATGTACATAAAGCCTCTTTCTAGATTATTAATAACACAATATCCCATTTTTTGTGCAGCACCATCACGCCATCACCCTAGCAGCATCGCTGTCAACAAGCCCCTTTTTTTTTTTTTCTAAAAATCTGTCAAACCGCCGAGAAGCCGCCGAGAACCCGCCACAGCCGCCTAATCCCGCCAAATCCGCGTAGCCGCCGTGATCGCCGAGGCCGTCTAGGCCCGCCTAGCCCGCCTGATCGATTTTTATGGCCGATTTTAGCAAATCGTCGGCGGTGGACCGCCGCCTAGCGCCTAGGCGCCGCTTAGGCCAATTTTTAGAACACTGAAATTTATATAAAACTTTCTCCTTCCAAACACTAACGACCCGAGTCAAGCTCAACTCATTGACGAATCGAGCTTTAAACGAGCTTCAATTTGTCTCGTTTATTAAACAAGTCGAACTGTACTCGAAAATTAACGAGTTGTGTTTACGAGTTGCTCGTTTCATTTAAAAACTCAATTTTATATGAACTTGTTAGCGGTATAAGTTTTTATATTTAATAACATTAAAAAATTTATTCATTGCACATAAGTGTTTGGTTAATTGGTGTCTAATTATTCAACGTAGAGAAAAGAAACCATTTACAAAACCTTCCTAACATCTCATTATCTATAATTAAAGCAATATTTAAACGTGGCTTATAATTCCACAATCATTTGTTGTTCTTAGAACACAATCAAGCCACGTCACAACATCAATTTAACCAAAAAGTCCCAACCTCCAATTTTACACTTTGTGGCAGATCCCAGCACACGTGGCCAACTATGTCAAGGACAATTTAGTCATTTTTCACAATTAACGATCCACCTGTCGCCACGTGTGCCACGTTACTGTCTGATTTTCACAAATCCAATAAATTAAATAAAAATAGATCTCTCTCACAAACCATCACCACCGTCCAGCTGTTTATTCGTTTTTTTATTAATTAATGAATCACTTATTTAATTTCTCATTTTGGATTCAATTTTTATTTATTTATTAATTTTTTTGTGCGTGCACGCCCATCAAGTACAAAAATGGAAAAGGAAATAATATATACATATAAAAAAAATATTATGAGAACGAGTGACAGAATATTGTCAAATATTTATTGAAGACCAAATTGTTTTTGTTCGTTATTTTTCATCTTTTATGATCGAAAAAGATGGGCTTCGTTGATAATTTTTTGGGATTTATTGGCTTTGGAATTGGAATTCCATTTGGTATTTTACTGGGATTTTTCATCTTCATACACTTTAGACCCACAGATGTTGCTACGAAGGTAAGTGTGTAAATTTTGCAGAAATTAAATCTTTAGTCCTCCATTTATGCCTAAATTCTGGAAATGCTTCTTCTTCATCATAATTCATGGGATTGTTTTTTTNATGAACACTTGAAATTTTAAAAATTTCCACAAAAGAAATCATCTGAATACAGTAGTTATCTTCATGTAAAATAGTCATAGAGCTGTTATTCGATCCGACAGCTTGGTTCAGCTGGGTTGTTTACTTAAACGAGCCGCACTCGAACAGCTAATCAAGCTTGTTTATTAAAGAGTCGAGCCAAACAAGCTCAATTTTTTAGGTTTAAGGTTTTAGGTTGATTAAACGAGTTGAGCACGAGTTCGGATATGAGCTACCCTGCTCGATTTTGTGTTTTTCGTATTTTTTCGTAATGGGAGCAGATTATAATTAATTTTGCAGGAAATTGTTAGTAAGCCGTTCAAGGAACTCGACTCGAGCTCCGTAATCGATCTTATTCAAGACCTTCCACTATGGGTGATGAGTCCCGATTACGAGAGAGTACGAAAATCTCGTTTTTTTGGTTATACATTCGATTTAAAAATTATATTTCAGTTTGGTATTTCTGGTTTTGAAATAGCTGCACTTGATGAATTTTTTTGCAGGTCCATTGGTTGAACAAATGTATTGAAAGCACGTGGCCTTACTTTGATAAGGCGAGTTCGTTATGTTCAAATTTCGAGCATATGATTGTTTATCATTTTATTCTTCGATTTTTTTTTTATTCATTGAGTTTCGAATTCACAGGCTGCATGTGGGATGATTAGAATCTCAGCAGAATCTACTTTAGCCGAGTACATAGGCAAATTTCAGATAGAAACTATTTATTTCGAGCACCTTACTCTTGGAAATTTCCCTCCTAAAGTTCACGGTGATGACCGTTTGCACTTTTCATTCGATAATCGATACTTATATGCCTAAAATATAAAAAACAATTGAAATTGCACTGTTTGTTAGGTCTCAAAGCTCAAGAATCGAAAGAAAATGAACTAGTTCTTGATCTTGCGTTGAGATGGGCTGGAAATGCAGATATTGTTCTTGTATTCAAACTGCTATCAGTTCGATTTTCTATCCAGGTTAGAAAAGAAAAAAAAAAAAAAGGATCTTGGATTTTGCATTTTCTACCACAAATTAATGTTTTTTGCACCTATAAAATTAAAATATGATGAGGCGAGCTACTTTTTTAAGGCCAGATAGTAGATATTCAAATATCGGCAGCTACAAGGATATCGTTGAGACCTTTTGTGCCCACTTTCCCGTGTTTTTCGAGCATTGCAATATCATTGATGGACAAGGTAAAAGAAAAATTCATATATATTGAGGTTCCATGTGTAATTAGGCTAAAGATCGGGTAGTTTTTTGTAATTAAAACTACAAAGTTTGTTGCTTAATTTTTTTTATTTTTTTATTTTTTTTTTATAATTTTATTTATTTTTTGTTCTTAATTGTTATAGTGCTCAGTGCTCACTTGATATACTCATTGCAAGATTTGCAGCCAAAGATAGATTTTGGGTTCAAAGTGTGTGGTGCAGATGTTATGTCCATTCCCGGCCTATACCATCTTGTTCAGGTACATTTTCGAACTTCGTTTTCTCTTATATTTTTTTTTCAAACATAAGTTTGTTTAATTTATGCGATAAAAATTCGTAACACCTGTCGATGTCGAATTCGTAACATATAGTATTTGGTAAACCTAGTTGATAAGCTAGCTTATAGTTTTTAAGTGAATTTCGAGCTTATAGCTGATAGCTTATGACTTATGACTGAAAACCTAGCTTAAATGATAAAAGTATTTAGTATATTAGCTCATAAGCTAGCTGAAATAAAAATTTCAATCGGCTTATTTGAAAAACTACCGAAGGATGCTTATGAGATAAGCACCAAACCAAGCTTATTTGAATAAACGAAGCTTATAAGTTATAAGCTAATCAAATAAGCTATAACCTAGCTTATATGCTTACCAAACACAACCTAAATATCGATTTATGATATAATCCTTTGATTCTCTTTTCATGCAGGAAGTTGTGGCAAGACAAGCTGCTAAACTCTATCTATGGCCCCAAACGTACGAACTGGATATACTCGACGATTCAATGTACGTGAGTTCAAATATATTTAAAAAAAATCCAAATTTTGAGAAGCTCCATTTATTTTTCCACACTTCAATTTTTTTTTTTTTTTTAAATAAAGTTTTGGTTCTGTTCTTAAACAGAGGAGCTACAAAGAAGCCTGTGGGTATACTTCACGTGAAGGTTGTGAGAGCTAAAAAGCTTTTAAATATGGATTTTTTAACAACATCCGATCCGTACGTTAAGCTCAGTTTAACCGGTGAAAGATTACCAGCGAAAAAAACAACGGTCAAGATGAATAATTTGAATTCCGAGTGGAACGAGGATTTCAAGCTGATCGTGAAGGAGCCCGAGACTCAATTTCTACAGATTCAACTATACGATTGGGAAAAGGTTGATTCTTTAACTTTATACTCTGACCAAATTTACTAATATTCGTATATTATGCAAAGATCGGTCATTTTACCCTTTGTGAATAATAGGTTGGGGCTCATGATTATTTAGGCATGCAAATTGTTCCACTTAATGTACTAAAACCGTACGAGAAGAAAGAGTTCACGCTCGATTTGAAAAACAGCACGGATCCTAACGATCGTCGAAACTTAAAGCCGAGGGGACAAATCACGATACAGACAACCTTTGTCCCTTTTCAAGAAGACAGCAAAAAGTTTAGCGGCTCGTTTGATGATAATAAGAATAATGGTAATAACAATTATGCAGAGGATGGAAATTCCCAAAATAGCCTCGAAAACGTGTCTTTGAGTGGGTCCGGTTTGCTCCTCCTCACCGTTTTGAAGGCAAGGGATGTCGAGGGGAAAAACCATAACAACCCTTATGCTACGGTTATCTTAAGAGGGGACAAAAGAAAAACTAAGGTGAATNTTTAACACTTTAAATCGTTCGACTCTTTTTGTCAGGCGAATTTAAGCACTCGAAAACTTCTTATCAATATGAAGTTTAGGTCGTGTTTGGCAAGCATAAAAGTTTCCTGTATTCAAATAAGCTTAGTTTGGTAGGACGAGTTGTTTTAAAAAGCTTGAGCTTATCTCATAAGCTTCTTTGGAGTAGCTTTTCAAATAAACTCATTGAAATTTTTATTTCAGCTAGTTTATTAGCTAAGAACACTTTTATCACATAAGCTAGTTTTTAAGCCATAAGTCATAAGCTATCAGCTATAAGCTTGAAATTCACTTAAAAGTTATAAGCTAGCTTATTAGCTAGGTTTATCAAACATAGTCTTAGTTTCAACATATGATACATATTTGACTGCTTGTAGATTATCAAGAAAACTCGGCAACCCCATTGGAATGAGGAATTTCAGTTTGTCCTTGACGAGGCTCCCGTGAAGGACAGAATTCACGTGGAGGTCACGAGTTGCAAGAGACGAATGGGTTTCATGTTTAAGGTACTAAAAAATCTAATGGTTCCTATGATGTTAAGGCCTAATTGCAAGAAAACTCGAATATATTTCGACATTTATATATATATATATATTTTTCTAATTGTTATTTATTTTTCGAAATTTCTTGGACAAAGGAGTCGTTGGGGTTCGTAGATATTAACCTGGCCGACGTCGTCTACAATGGGCACATCAATGAGAAGTATCATCTTATCAATTCAAGAAATGGGATTATACACTTGGATATTAGATGGAAAGTCATTTGACATTAGTCCATGTATTTTTTCTTCTTCTTTTTTTTTTTTTTTAATATATATTTTATTTTATATCCTTTTTGTTAGTATCAACAGAAATATACGTATACATGTCTTCATTTTCATAAAGGGGATTTTGTAGTTCTTGGGTTATATATATGTTCAAATCAAATATTAGGTTACTTGGAAAATCATACATTTATTAGCCAATTGTTATATTTGTTTTCTATGGTGTACAATATTATTCACCAAGAAAGTTGTGCTGAATTTCATTGTATGCCCACTAAGTACTCTTGAATATTATTGATGCATACAAACATGTTTGTGATGACAATTGGGAAACGAATCGATCGACTAGTCAGTTCCGCTCGTTAAAACTCGTTTGACTTGAAAAATAATCGTTCCGCTCGTTAAAACTCGTTTGACTTGAAAAATAATCGTTTATTAAAGAAAAACGATTTTATGACACATGATTTTTGTGAAGAAAAATTAAGTTGATTTTGAAATTATGAATTGGCATGCGAATTTATGAACTTGCAAGAGACTAAACCAAAAAACAGAGAATAAAAAACAGAAAATTCTAGTTTTATGTAAACACCACTATGTGAGTTTTATTTATATCACGAATAATCCAATTCAAATTCTTTTATTTTATTTTTGGTATGCCAAAATTCATGCTAAAAATGAAAAAACAAAATATATTAATAAGAACTAAAAAATATAAGTAAAAATATATAACTATTTTAACTTTTATATCTCGCTTTTTTGAACGAAATAACTATTTTTCCAAAAGATATCCAACGAACTCAAAAAAGTACAAAAAAATTATCACTTGAATATACCAAGCCCAAACCGAAGAACAAAAAATTAAATTATTTTTATAGCCTAAACCAAACACGCCCTTAGATACCTTATCTACACAAGATATTTTCATTATCCCGACAAATATCTTCTCTACACAGCTCCTCTATTAAAACCCTTCCCTAAATCTCATCTCACAGAGAAATAACCTCAAAAACCTTATCTTCTCTCCACACACACTCAGTAACCATGGCCGCTTCAGTTACCTTCCTCGCCCTCGCCCCACAAACCTTATCCGCCCACCACCCTTCCTCCACGGCCGCCGGCGTCGGCCGCAGCGTCGTCTCCGCTTTCTTCGCCCCTTCTATCAAACCCTTTCCCAAACTCGTCCTCCCGCTCTCGTCCGGCGCCCTTCGCGCAAATCCATCTTTTGGGTTCTTGAGAAACGTCTCCGTTTCTTCCGAGCTGGATGCGGATTTGTCCGAGGACGAAGGGCTCGATTTCTCCGCCGGCGAGGAGCCGAGATTCTCGCCTGACTTGAAGCTTTTTGTCGGGAATTTGCCGTTTAATGTCGACAGCTCTGAGCTGGCTGGGTTGTTTGAGCAGGCTGGGAATGTCGAGATGGTTGAGGTGAGTTTTGTCTTTTTTGAAATTTCCTGTTTTTATTTGGGTTTGATTTGAGTTGGTTAATTTGTGCTTGCTTTATATGAGCTGATATTGTGAAGACTGGAAAAAAAGATTGATTTTTTAAGCCTAAATTGACTCAATGTCTCTCTGTTGGATGTTCATTTGTTTACTTAATTATAAAATTGTGGAGATTGTGTCGATTATCTGAATGATAATTGCAGTTTGTTTGAGTCTTTTAAAGTCCCTCTTTTCACGTTAGCTTTGGCTGTTGTAATTTTCAAGTTATTGTGTACAGAGGGATGTTGAAAGTAGAACTTCTGGTATAAAACGATGTAAAATGTCGAATTAAGAGCGTGTTGAAATATTTGCAGGTTATATACGACAAGACTACTGGAAAAAGTAGGGGTTTTGGTTTCGTGACTATGTCTACCGTCGAGGAAGTAGAAACTGCTGTACAACAACTCAATGGCTATGTAAGACTGTTTATCTCTTTAATTTGTATCTATCTGTTTGTGTGTGTAGATATGAGAACTCTAAGAGCAATACTGCATTGTGAAATGTGAACCATAGCCTGTTTATCTCTTTAATTTGTATCTATCTGTGTCTGTGTGTAGATATGAGAACTCTAAGAGCAATACTGCATTGTGAAATGTGAACCATCACCTTACTAGTTTATCTCTTTAATTTGTATCTATCTGTTTGTGTGTGTAGATATGAGAACTCTAAGAGCAATACTGCATTGTGAAATGTGAACCATCACCTTACTAGTTATACTAATGTTTATGTATTCTACAAATTGGTGATATATGTACATCTTTGCAGTGTTTCTAGTTTTGAGAACAAACAACTATACAAGTAACCAACCCAATTGAGTATATAGTATAACTCAAATTTCAACGCAGCTCAAATTTCAGGCATTCCAAGTAAACGCTAAATTTATGATTTTTTTATCTGCAGGAACTTCAGGGCCGGAGTCTAAGGGTGAATTCTGGGCCCCCACCTTCCAAGAGTGAAAACTCTTCATTCAAGGGAGCCCAAAGTGGTTATGGGTCCGGGCCCAAATTTGGGTCTGGGTCCATTGACAGCAGCAACAGGGTTTATGTGGGTAACCTTTCGTGGGGGGTCGATAATCTTGCTCTCGAAACATTGTTTAGCGAGCAAGGGAATGTTAAGGAGGCTAGTGTGGTTTATGACAGGGAAAGTGGGAGGTCTCGAGGTTTCGGTTTCGTGACGTATAGTTCGTCAGCCGAGGTCAACAAGGCCATTGAATCGTTCGATGGGATGGTAAAAATTTCCTGCTAATTGTAGTTATTTGGTGTTTTTTTTAATATTTTGTTATTGGGTGTAGTTATTGTGTTTTGAGCCCTTTTTGTGTTTCTCTTACCATTGGTTCTCTTGGGTTTCATCTCTAGCCTACTCCAACTTGCTTGGGACTAAAAGGCTATGTTGTTGTTGTTGTTTTGTCTTTTATATGTTGATATGATGTGCTTTTCTTGATTTTTAACATTGTTTACAATCTAAGATGAATCTTCATATACGGGGTCGTGTAATACTTGTGCATGAGTTATAAGACATAAATTCTACTTAAGAAATGTCTCTTCTTTTGGGGAAAAAGATTGCAATTTGTATTGGTGCTACTTAAAAAAAAAATGTTATGTATCTTATTGGGATTTTTTGGTGTAGGAATTTAATGGAAGATCTATTCGAGTTAGCCGTGCTGAGTCGCGCCCGAGGCGCGAGTACTAGTGACCTCTGAAATACTTGAGATTCTCAAAAGTGGTTGAATTAATGATAGAGGGTATGTAAACTAACTCGATCGATGCTACTTGTGAATGATACATTTATTGTAATTCGTAAAGTGATTGTCTTATCAATTTTCACATTGGAACGAACATATTTTAGCATGATTGTTATTTTGAAAATTTAAGAATATATCCTTTCATGATCTTGTTCGGTTTCAATCTTGTTTACCCCTACCAATCTAACTAAACATGACTTTTTTTTTTTTTTTGGTTCTACAATCTTGATCAGAGATAACAAAGAGTTGAAGCTTCATAGATGTTCCTGATCAGTATGAGATAAGTGGAGTACTTTTGTGTGTTGAGACCCAAATCTGCAAAACATGGGATTTCAACTCCTTCGGTTTTTGGATTGAACCTTGGATGACTCGTGTAACAAAGGCTAAAAGGATCTGTGAAAGCTTATGAACTATCCATAGTCTATGTTTGTGTTTTTCTTAGAAATGAAATTATGTAATAGTTCATCTAATACCTCTTCTAGCAGAGGAATTTGTTTTTTGGAGACTATCTGGCTTGCAGATTGTAATTTTTTTAGGTCATGCATTGATATCCAAATTTGAAAGGCCAATTTTTCCTTTTATTTTCCACAAAATTTGCATTTATTGTTTTGTCTTTTCAAGTTGTAGAAGGAAATACCAAATTACCAACTAACCAAGAACAAGTTTAGCCCATTGAACTCTTCCAAATCCATATTATTGTTATACAGGCCTTTTTATCAATTGGGTCATCTCATGCCTTAACAAATGGGAGATTAATGGCCTTGCTCTAGTTGTGGCACAATGAATACCCAAAATCAAGCCTATGATTTTTTTTTTTATTTTTTTTTTCCCTTATTGCGTTTTCTATTATCATATTTNAATTTGACCCTACTAATTTGTGTTGTGCACAACTCGAGGGTTTAAAACCCTGATACGTGTACTGCACGCGCTTCTAATTAAGGTCGAATTTCCTGTAAATTAGTACTTATGATACAATTCAAGTCCAATTTTAGCAAGTTAGACCAAAAAGAGCAAGCTTGATTTTACCTCCGAATTAGGTATGCATTCTCCTTTTATTCCAAGGCACAAACAACACTTGAGCAAATCAAAGTTTTGGTGTTGGGACTTTAAGAGACCATGCAGGAGAAGATAAAATGTCTGAGAAAAAAGGCAAAGGGCAATAGTGACACTTGTCGACCCGTGATTGGTCGGAAACACAATGGGTGGCGGACACATCAGCATCCACAAACCACTGCCTGCCACGTGTCCCCTTGGGGGTTTCGGGCTATTTTATGAATTTATCCATATTCATGACTAGCCAATGGGAGCTCGACAAGAAATGGCCACTAAGGGTTGTTACATATTGTGTTGATTGGGCTATGCTTGAAAATAGCCTAAGCTTGTCAAGTGCCATAAAAATTATTTGAAAATGTGGGCCATATTAGTTAATTTCATGTCCAGTTATTAAATTATCGTAGAAGTTAATACTATTTTATAAATTTTGATGAATAATGTCTAATTCAAGACCAATTGAGCATTGTCTAATTGTATTTAATTTTTAAAATAAAG